TACACAGTTGTAATGATTCTAGCGAGACAAGTTTGCTAACTATTATTCAACGTCGAGGTGCTCAAATGATTTTCTAAGAGTGTCACAAGGTCGGAGGTTTGAAATATCCATTGAGGATCGAACGCACTATTCACTCGTTTAATCGATCTAGCGAAACAAGCTTGCTAACCATTACACCACTGCGAAGTACCCCTGGTGGTGGTGATGATGATCGTCCGTATATTATTGAATAAAAAAAAGCAAAGAATATAAGAATGACAATGATATTCAGGACTTGTTTAGCGATATTCTTTACTGGTGCACCTGCTTCAAATTACGGCTGGACGTAATTTGGCGAAAATTTCCAGCAAAGGGACCTGAGGAAATCACTGAACCGATCTGTATCATTTCTAGCCAATCTGGGTGGCAGGAATCAAAAATAGAATGACAATAAAGACGAGAGTTAGATTCAGACTAGCGACAGCAAAAAAAAAAAAAAAAAAAAAATAAAAAATTCAAGATGAAAAAAAAAACTCAAGGGAAAAGAGAAACATATGAAGAGAAAAGAGATAATGACAACATAAACATCTCGTCTCGGTTTGAAATTTATTAATTGCAAACAGGAGAAAGCTATAAAATAGGGAATATATTAGGAAGTAAAAAAATCGAGAATAGGACCTTCATGAATAATTCAAAAGATTCTGAGAAAGACATCATGTAAAAAAGAGTAAGAGGAAAAAGAGACGGAAGAAGAAAATGAAGAGAAAGAAAAGCAAGTTAAGAAGATAAGAAGAAACAAGGAGTACAGAGAGGAGGGATAATAATAATAATAATAATAATAATAATAATAAACGATAGAATTATATTTCATGATGATGATGATGATGATAATGATGGCGACGACAACAGCATCCATCTTGAAAATGATAATACTTCTCTCATTTTATGGACTTTACAAATAATAATAAAATACTTTAAGATTATTTTAGTCCAAAGCGGAGGAGAGTTAATTTGGGTGACTTACTTTTAGTGGGTGGGGCGTGGGATGACCGGCAGAAAGGATAAAGTTGTGGAAAAGAGAGCAGCTCCTTAAAGGCTTAACTTGCAGACGGGACGGGTGTGCTGTTTGTGACTTTTATGGACTTCTCTTTCAAGATGGATTGTTTTCATCCGATTGCCGCATGAAATTATAACCGGTAATTAGAACAGAAAGAGCGTTTGATTTTTTTCAGAAAAAAAGACACAAGTGATTTTGATATGATTTATTCATATTTCGTTTTATCAACCAGTCCGCCATAATGACTGTTCTTTTTCATCAGTTCTCTTTCAATTTCTTTCACTTAAACCTCTTTCTTTTCTTTCATAAATCTAAATTTTTCTTTAATATCTTCATTCATTCTATTTTGCCTTCCTTTCTGTAATGGATCATTCATATTTTTCCTTCATTCAACTTCCTAACTTCTAATAAATATTACGTACAGCTGACAAAAATTTGGGAAATTTGAACAGATTTTAACCAACGTTTTCCTGTGTCTTGCCGGACGAACCGCGCGTTTTTCGATATAACAACTAGAAAACGAAACAACTTCATTTTCTATCAGTTTTCCCATTTTCTTTGCGTAACAATATGCTCGAGATCAGAACCGGTGCAAGAGTCTCATGGCCCCTTTCCGAATCTATGATACAGCCTCTCCTGAATCTATGATATAACCTCTCTCGAATCTATGATATGGGGAAATCCACTCTGCTACCCATCAATTTTAATATGGTAGTGTTCATATAAAATACAAATTTTATTGTAACCTAATTATATACAATAATGGATTATATGCAGTATAAGTGAAGAATTCAATTAGAAAAATTGAAAGTAAATACAATATCGAAATACAAATTAAAGACGTGTCATAAAAGTCTTAAATCAATAATGTTTTGCGGCAATTTTTTAATCATCAACTTGAGATTTTTCTTGTTAAAAAATGAATAATTTTGACATAATAAACATTATGGATAAAAAAATAATGAATTTTGCGTGGTGATTTTTCGAGACAGGAAAAAAAAATTCACGGATTTAGACAAAAAAGAAGACACTGGTATGATGTCAAAATCCGCGAAAATTTCTCATCCTTTAATAGTCGTGCTTATTTTAATTTCTATCGTTTATAAATGTTGGTATAAAAATGCAAATGTCGATAAGATAGTGAGGTTCACAAAGCATTGCCCGGGGTCTCCAATCATCACCCCTCCGGTCAGAGTTTCGAGGATAGTACGCAACAGCTCTAATTGAGACACCCACATATAAAAGGAGAGTGTGATTTTATCTTAAATGTTTCTATTTTATGAGAGCGAATTTGATGTCGAATCTTCTAAACGGCATCCACTTGACCGATGGAAAACAAATGACAGATAAGCATTTGAGGTCAAGTGACAAGAAAGCCGGATATTGATGATTTCCATTTGCCGATCAATTGATAATCACAGCTGGAATCGTCGAGGTCAGTTTTGCTTCAGTCTTGGTGGGTAGTTCCTTAGGTAGTTGCGATGTTGTCGGTTCATATTGCCAGCCGTTCCGTGTAGATGGAGAGTGTGTTGGTAGGTGGGAAGATCTGAGCTCTGAGACTCACATAGCAAAAACTTGTCCCAGGTATCACCTACCTACTCACCTAGACTGAGCAAGCGAAACTGTGAATAAAAACTTAAATATGTTGGAAACATGGTTTCTATCCCCATTTCTCGCTGCGGCATTTTCATCTATCGTTACCTTCTGAACGTGCAGCGATGGGAAACACAATATGGGATAGCCATTGGCCAATTAATTGGTGGAATGCTGAGTGAGTGACTCGTTGTATGTTTACACTTGTATATCATTTCTTTAAATCAAATACAGGTAGAGAATCCTTTATTAGAAATTCTTGGCACCGGAAATGCTTCGGTTTTCAGATTCTGGAATACAGGCTGTTTAATTTGTATATAACAATCTGTAAGCAAATATATGGATATAGATCCGACAGTATGAAGAAAAATATACTGAAAAAAAACAAACAAAAATCCTAATATGCGATTATGCTGTTTTAATGTTTAATGTCAACGTCGGACGTTTCGGTCTAATAGACCATCTTCAGGACATATTCATAAAACATAAATAACATAGACCATATACAATTCAACATGAAAAAGACGATGGACATAAAAGCAAGACCAATCCAAACAGATAACTGAAATCTTTTATAAGATCAGCGTTCCGTTTAAATATGATCACGTCGTCGTCACGTGGGCGATGTTGTGAAAACGTATTCCTAAAATTTGAGTATTTTGAATGAAAAACGAAAAGAATCACATTTTGACATTTTGCATATTTTTACTGAGCACGAAACACCTGGTAAAGAATCCACGAATGAATGTGGTTCTGTGACGATAGCTGACAAAAAAAAAATGGCATCAACATAGACTACACAGCTACGCTGGAGAACCCCTTCACCCAAAGCAGATGTGGTCACTTGCAACAGTTGCACATCACCTAGGAACCTTCCCAGTGCTTTCTGAAATTTTCCATTTGTGGCAAGTCATATCATCACCCGAACATCTTTCGGATTTTGGAGGTTTTCGGATTTGGAAATTTCGGATAAAGGATATTCAACTTGTACTGTATTGTATATTGACAGACCGAATCTTTCATCCGTTCCTTCTTTGATTTACAAGCGTCTATGTGGTGTGTTTATAGAGGAACTATATTGCTAAATGGGAGTGGATGTAATATTAGATATATGCAGACATTTGACTTCTCAGCAATATTTTAGAAGCAAGAAATAGAGTCGTGGTTATAGGGATCTTTCAAGCGTAGCTTAGATGTGGCACAAGGCCGAAAGTAGGGAGCACCCAGTGAGGATCGAACTCACTGCCCAGTCATTGTTCTAGCTAGACAAACTTGCTAACCATTACACCGCCTCGAGGTGTCCAAAGAGTCACGGTTATGTATGGATAGTGTAGAAAATTATCAACTTCTTAGCTAAAAGAGTCCAATTACCAAATTCCCTTTGAGGAAAAAATCGGTTCATAACTCGTTCGAATCATCAATTTTCCGACAGTCAACCCCTTGACTGTTTAGAACTGTAGAATACTGCCATAGATATTGGGTCTGTTAAAAATAAACATTTGATCAATTTGTGCGACGTGTAGGCATTTACCTAAATCTCAGTAATTTTATAGAGTGGAGAAAATTAACAGGCTTTCAGAAATATTATAGTGGTGTAGAAATTGAACAGACTTTCAGTAATATTATAGAAATGTAGAAATTTAATAAACCTCTCAATAATATTATAGAAGTGCAGAATTTTAATATACTTTCAATGATATTATAGTGTGTAGACCTTTATCAGTCTCTCAGGAGTATATGAAAGTGTAGAAATTTAATTGGCTTTCTCTTATAAGTAGGAAGTGTAGAAATTTAACGTTGCCGGCTAGATCTCATCATTTTACAGTTAAAATAGTTAGATGTAACCGTAAGTCCTATGCTAATAGTTTCTCCTCTCGTACTTCTTGCTTGTGGAACACTCTTCCCGCTTCCTGCTTTCCCGCCAACCACGAACTTCAAAAAGTTAAACGCAACATAAATTGTGATATTTTGTCTCCTTGAACACTGTTTTTTTTTCTTGCCTTTTCTATTTCTTTCACTCTCAGTAACCCCTTGCATCCTAGTGGCTTTTATTGAGTTGCTTGGGTGAAATGATTAAAGAAACATTAACAATAATGACAGCATTAAGTTTTCACTGCTGTTTTGTATATATTAGAATAAATTCATAGTAACAAAATACACGCGATGAAAATGAATCCCTTAGCAGCACGGAGACTTACAGAGAAGTGTATAGATTAAGTATTACAAATAAACACAATGATATCTTCGCACGCGCGCACATACAAACAGACAAGCATACAGAGACCTGACTGGTTTAGTTTTGGGTTGGGTTGAGAATGGAGGCGAAAGAAACAGATCTACTGCGTACAATTAGCAACTCTTTAGTTTCTACAATAGCTTCGGAGTGAAATGCGGGAGGTAGACGAATAAGTAGAGCTGGACGGTTAGCAGATGTAGAGAGAGAGAGAGAGAGAGAGAGAGAGAGAGAGAGAGAGAGAGAGAGAGAGAAATAAGGATTAAAAAATGCTAATAAAATCACGCAGTACCGTAGTCGAAAGTCACCGTCAAAAGAAAGAGGCAAAAGAAAAACTGGGAGAAGAAAGTGATTCAGAATGGAAACTTTAAGTGTAGAAAGGCGATAAAAGATGTGATATGATCAAGCCCCCCCCAAAAAAAAAAATAAAAAAAAAAACCAACAACAACAACAACAAAACTTCTTCACCCACAACTTGCGTTTGCAATAAAAGCTGAAAGAACATTGAAAGTCAACAGAACTTTTGAGTCGAGTTGCTTGTTTCCACTGCCAAATACTTTTTTGGATACCATATTTATAAATTATATTTAATATTAATAATATTAGGTACCTTCAAAACACGAGCATACATTGTCAAACTATGTTATTATGAAGAGAAAATACCAAAGAATTTTTTTGTATTATTAAATTAGATTTTTAATTCTTTTTAGAACCTTCAAAATTTTGATTAAAAATCCTGTTTTTCATGCGTCAGCAAATGAACGTAAAGTAATAGGGAAAAAATTTAGCGTCATTTTTCGGCGAAAAAACACGCTGACTTGGAAATTCTTGCAAAAATTAGATAATTGCCGGGTTTTAATGAAACTTTCAATACTTATTCATAAATCAATGACATTTTTTTAGAAAATATTTTTATACACCACTTAATTTTTAATAAATTTCGAGAAATTAAATTTTTTGTATGGTTTAATATTGATATCTATATGAATAACTGAAAAATAGGAGGTCAATTCTCTCACGAATTCTTTCTTTTTATGTGTCGTGTCCTTTCAGGACGTAGGCGATCATGGTCCTCCGCTTCCCCCTATCTCTTGTGGCTCTCGACAGGTTTTGTGTTTCTGCCAACTTCCCCAGACCACGCTCCGCCATCCACCTGCCCTAGTCCGCCACGTATGTCATGCGCTGCTTTCCATCATGTGTCCCAGAAATTTCCCCTTTTTTCGTCCCCCTTGTTTGTCCATCAAGACATTCTCACAGGCCATCCTTTCCTCATCCTTCGTGAACCAGAAATTTCATCCTTTTCTCTGCTGAGGATAGATGTCACGTCGGAAAAGGCTTCTCCAGCTTTTAGAACTCTCTTCCGGCTTCATATTTCCCGTGGAGAAGGCAACAACTTTGATCCTCAATAATTTTTTAAATTCATAAGTCAATTTATAATTTTTAACAACTGTCATCCTGATTACTCTTCTATTTCGTTCTCGCTCCTTTTGGCTTTTTCTATAAATAATGTTTCTGAACTTTTCTTATTTTTTCAATTTACTCAGCAGCCCTTGGGTTTACTACTTTTTTCTCGCACTTCTCGCTTTATACCTCCCAGGCAACTTGAATTTGATTAAAATATATTTCTCAAAAAAAATTCTCATAGCCCCTTTTCAGATAATAAAAAAAGCTGTGAAGAAATCATATTAATAAAGAAGGAAGCAAATAAACAAAAGATTTATATGCAGTTTCAATGAATTAATACACGCACTTACGAGTACACACGTGTGTCTCCGTATATGCGTTCTTTCGATTGTTGGTAACAATAAAATAAATAAAACAGGTTGCGTTTATTCTGTTATTATGCCGTCACCATACAAGCGGAGAACATTGACTGCATCGTGAAAATAGTGATAGCAACTTTATTACTGGGGCAAATGAAGCATATTTCTTTCAGATTCATTCAAGGCTGCAGTAAGGTGAAATACATCTGAAATAAAAATGCCATATATGACAAAGGAGAAACAAACTCGGAAAAATAAGCTCCTTCCCCGACCAATGGAGCACTCCTACCCGCCAAAGGCGCGTCCACCGTCTGAACAAACAACAAAATGAAAGAGTCCGTAAAAGAAAGGCCGGTAACGAGAGCAGAAGATTCGAAAGGCAAGCTGCCCGCTCTCGGCTCGGCGCACGTGGCCCGAAAGTAAAGGCAGCCATTTAATACGATCAGTGAAGCGCATGATCGCTACTTAATTCTGGTTACTAATCCTCCCCTGCTTAAAGTCACATTTAGTTTTTAGAACTAAATGAAGCAAACTCCTTGTAAGCTTATTAAACCCTTCAGGCACCCTACTTCCGGTTTTACGGTTTAAAAAATGTTTCTCTTAATATATATATATATATATATATATATATATATATATATATATATATATATGGATGGATGCTGGCAAAAGCTTGTTTCAATAAATATTAATTTTATTTAGGTACTGGCGTGAGATGGCTGGAAAAATGAGCATAGCATGATAAAAACGGCCTTAAACTTAACGAAAATATTTTTTTATTGTCTAAATGTTTATGTTATTACAAAGAGGAAAGATCAAAGTATTTCTTGATTATTTTTTTTTACATTTTTTAATCATTCCTAGCACGTCAAAATTGTCGTTTGAAATCATGTTTTTTTTAGTCTGGTAAATTGACCTAAAATCGATCGTCATTCATTTTTTTTTCAATTTTGTAAACAAAAGTTAATTTTTCCGTTTAAAATTTTGTCAAAAATCTATTATACTTTTTAAAAAATTTATTCTAACAAAATTAGAAATTTTAAAGTTTATTTAATATATTTTAAAATAAATATTTCTTACTTTATGCACCGAAAAATGTAATTTAAAACAAGAGACAGCAGGTCTTAACAGCAGCGACGTGTGACTATGTGATAATTGTTGTTTTCAGCACGTATTGACAGCTTACGCAAGGAAAAGTTATCGTACGGAAGGACAGAAGTGACATAATTTAGCTTTTTATTGAACCAACTTATTTACCTCATTATTTTTAAGGAAAACTTTTAAACTAAGACTGTTGAGAGTGAGATAAAATTTCATAAGAAAGATACATAAAATTAATTAGGTACCTTTCTTATGAAAGGTTAAGTGCACATAAAATATAATTTAATAAACATTTATTACATTTTACGGTATTATTTGCATTTCCACTCATTTTATTAATTTTGAGATTTCATTTATGGAAAAAATGTCATAACTTACTGAGATAATATAAAAATAAGACCATATCAATTTCATAAGTTAGGTACATAATACTTTGTAGGTACCCTTATCATTTGAAATATTATACAATTTTTTTCTCTTTTCATGATGCTTCCGGTCTTTCGTATATTTGAATTACAGCCGTTTTAGGGACAGAAAAAAACATGTTATATTAGATTTTTATATATTTGGGGTTTACTGATTGTAACCACCTTTGCAATTTATAATATGTAATGATATATATCTACTTAATAACACCATCTTCTGAACTGTACACTATTTTCATTAATTTTAGAATATTTAACAACTTCAATGTAAAAAAAAATAATTTAAGAAATAAGAAATAATTGTTGTAAAAATTTATTTTTCATCGAAAACGTTTTTTGCTTTCAGACAATATTATCCATATTCATAAAAACAAGTAAAAGGAAATAAAAGCTTTAGAAATTAAATAATATCTTTGTTTTATGAAGTTTTTTATGTTACAATTCAGATCTGATTTTAAAGGTAGAATGGGGGTCAACTAAAGAAAAAACAACCCCCAAAAACAAAGCATGATTTACTTTCCTCAAAGCCTTGTGCTTTTAACTAATTAATCACTAAAACTGTACACTTTGAATTTCAAGCGTTTTCATTAGTTGGGGGGTGGGGTTAATAATATAAAAAAAATTTCCTTGACTTAAAAAAAATTAAACATATTTATTCTGAAAGTTTCATTAAAGTTGGACAAATATTTTTATTTTTGCAAGATTTTCAAAATTAATGCCTGTCATAAAAATGCACAAAAAATTTGCTATGAAGTTTCGCTGATGAAGAGAAACAAGATGTTTCAGTCAGAAGTTAGAATGTTCTAATAAAGACAGGACATTTTTTTTAAAATAATTAAAAAGTTTACTTTGTGCTTTCCTCTTAATAGTAACATAAACATTTTGACGATAAAATTTTGTTTTCGTCAAGTTTAAGGCCGTTATTATCATGCTATGCTCATTTTCCCAGCGATCTCACGCCAGTACCTAATTTTATTACTTAAAAGTTATTTTTAATGGATACTCATATTTGAGTAGACGTTCTGTTTTTATTTATTTATTGAAAAGTATATTTATTTATTTCCATCTACCGGCTTTAGTATTCGAGAAATCTGGTTAGAAAAATATGCGTCCTCCGGCAGGATTCGAACCTGCGTCCCCTAGGGGAAATCATCATTAGATCTGACATGCCTTGACCTCTCGTCCCCGATGAACCTCCTGATAGAATATTTCAACCAATATAAGGCCCAAGAGCCACTCAAGATAGAGGATTACTGAATGAGTTTGTTTTGTGGACGTAAGAGGTGGAGATAAGTGCAGATTATAAAGATATGTAGGATATAGACTTGAAAATGTTATGATTGTAGCGATCAGGGAAGCATCCTCTCAGGAGTTTGTCTGAGTGGGACTACTTTCTTACCGAGGGAATACGAACGGAATGTGGATGATTCGGCCTTATGTACGTGGCATGGCATGTTCTAGCTGTGACGGTTTGAACTAGCGGAACTAAGGAATGTAGATCGTTTGAACATTTGCCATGGAAATAGCGATATTGTAGTGAAAGTTCTGTGACGTTTTGTCTGTGAGAAAGGCTGTATATTTGAAAATAATTTTTAAGAAGAGAGCAGTGGATCTGAAATTATTACTGCTAACAAAAGTTATTGCTATTTTCCCTATTGGACTTGAAGTCAGTAAGCATTATGTTGCAAAAGCATCTTTGACAATGTTTGTTTTAATCATCGAAGCCCAAACAAGGAAATAATGTCAATAGAACAAGTGGTGAAAGAGAATGAGAATATTTTAGTGAGAAAAAGTGAAGAAAGGGTCAAATAAAGGAATACGATTCAGAAAGACAGAAGATGACGATTGGGGTTACATTTAAATTTTTGAGATTGTAGTTGGCAGGGAAGCAAGAAATCGGAAGGGAGAAGTGCATCTAGTTAGTTCAGCAATAAAAAGGTGAGACCTAGTTACCAATCTAGTAGCAAGCTTAAATTCACGCATTCGACACCCTAAGGAGAACAGCTCATCAGAACAACTGCCTTGAACATATTTGTAGAAAAAACAGAGGGAAACCACGTCACGTCGGTGGGAAAGTGACTGAAATCGAGTTGCCAGGTCAGGTTCAATTTTTTTATTCTTGCAGAATCGAAATAAAATTAGTTAATGCTGTTTCGCTTTAAGTAGCAAGTGAAAATTTACGTGTCTATCGTGTTATCCCGACGCACAAGAAGAACTGCTTCACTTAGCTGAAAAGTTCCAACTGCACTTGTATTTACCGATAACTTGAAAAAGAAAAATATTTACCAATTCTAATCCTAGTACCACTAACCCTTACACCTCCCGTGTTTCCTGCGATAATTGAAAATCATATTACTCTCTAGGAAGTGCTTTAACAGAGGACGGAAAATGTGGCACCGAAATCCGAAGGCGCATTGGAATAGCGAAAGGTACTTTCCAAAATCTAACCAAAGTATTAAGAAACTGGAAAATTTCGTTATAAATAAAGGAAAGGATTTTGCACTGATATGTAATATTTTTTCTCCTCCTTGACACTTACAAAGCATATTGAAAGCAAGACGGTTAGAGGAAAGCAGCATGTAGCCCACATAACAACCTTGTGTAAATGGATGGCAGAACAGGGGCTGGGAGGGATGGCGAAAAGTAAAAAAAATTACTAGGAAGGACAGGAAATTGCGGAGAGCCATGATCTCACACGCTCAGAAGATAAGAAGAAGATTATATCTAAGTCGCAAATGTGTGAGTAGAGTAACGGATATTGGCGTGGAAAATGGAGTCGGTAAGCGTAGTTGAAATCCTTGTAGAGTCTGTTGCATTCCCTTTCACACAAATCGTCATTGTGATTTGAAAAAGCATAAGTTGGCGCCCAAATATTTTCATGCTCTTCCATATTTGAAATGTGCAAACCAGTCGCTATAAGAATGATAAAAGCAATATTCTGGTACAAAGTCATTTATGTAGTCATACCCTAATTTAAAAAAAATGGTATTATGTCAAATCGGCGTATGTTGAGTTAGGCCGTATTAAAATCATACCGACGAAATACCATTAAGAAGTGCATGATTCTGTCCCCCCACCCACACTCTTAGTTAGAGGTTATATAACAGTTTACACTGGTTACTATCGCCTTGGATGGCAACCAGTCTAAGATAAAGAAAACTGAATACCAAACCGTAGAGAAGACAATAAGATCTCCCTTTTTTTGTTTCAAGAATACATAGCAATTCACCGATGATAAAGAAAAGAAATCTTTGAAGCGTCATGTCCGTGACTAAGGCGAGCTTTCAAGTCGGAAGACATCAGCTGTTGCTCCTCCAGGCCTACTTGCACAAGACGCGCTACGCATGGATGAATAACTCGCCGGCTTTCAATGTGAAGGGAACTGGTTAGGTGCTCAGCTGCATAGCGACCATAAATCATGGGATTGACGATGAGGTGCATTCCGTAATTTTTTTTTATCTTACTCTTCACTTTGACATCTGTAATGCAATACAGACGTCCAGTTAAAAAATATTTGCGATTTCTCTGGGGATTTATTTCCAAACTATCAGTTTAACTTGTTTTGGCAGGAGTTAATAATGATCTGTGAGGAAGTTGATAGAAACTGCTAAGCATTTTCTTCGTTACAGTGGAAACATTTCACGCGCTCACGGACGCATTCACCTGCATGTTATAACCAAACAGGGTTTTGTCTAGCGTAATCAAAGGATGAATCTATCATATTAGGTAATATAACATGGCTAAAAATACTCGACGCATCACCTGGTGCGGTGCGACTCTAGCCAGGAAACTTATATGTAAAAAGACCAATAAAGCATTCCTAATCATGCTAAATTTGAGGATTCTACATGAAATAATTAACTGGATATTGGTTTAAAAAATAATAGGGAAAAAAAGCAGGCTTGAT